AAAATTAAATCTATATCAATATTTTTTAGAATGTATGGAACTATTAGATAATATAAATTAACGAAGACTAGATTAATTATCAGCTTTTTACGTATACTTCGTAACACGCAACCTTCAGACAATATTAATTGATAAAATTCAGCATTAATTTCTAGTTTTTCATGTATATTTCGTAATACGTAACAGTTAAATTAATTATTATAATAAGTTGATTTAAATAATTTATAATTTGGAATCGGATGACTTACGGCTTTATCAATCTTTGAGTTTGTTTTACTGCAATTATTTAAAATTAGTAAACTTTATTACATATCACACATCTATAAATAAACAGAAGAGAATTTCATGTATTATTACTTATTATTCTTTACCTATGAGTTATGGAATTCTGGTTGAAAATGGACAAATCAGAATTTTTTTTGTTGAATTTATTATAATTCTAGTTGAGATTAAAATTCCGATTGATCAGAATCTTCATTTACGATCAAAAAATTATCTTAAATTGTCGATTTTCGCCGCGCGACGATCGAAGAATTCAAATTTCGATCAAATTGATCCGATAGTAATTAAAGCCTCTTCGAGACGTGTCAAAACAATCGAGAATATATCCAGCGTGCAGCGTAAACACGCCGGTCCGGAGTGGCCGGAGTAACCGGCGGTGTCAAAAGGAAACAGGTAGGTAAAACCGACTTGTCGCGCACGTGACGCGTCTCGATTGAAGATCCTCGATCGATCCCGCGCGCGCGCTCGATGACACGACGCGGCATGTCGCGTCGTGATAACATGATTAGCGAGGCATAAACCGCATAAATGTAAACATTTCTGGTTCCAGCGACATCAAGAGACTACGTCGATTCATCGTCGACTTCGCTCGAGGGAATTCTCCGCGCGACGATTTCGGAGTGAAACAGAAATCGCCAATGAGTTGAATTTTCTGTGCCGCGGGCGTGGAACATAAAAGAATCCGCGATCCTTTTCTCCGATTCCCGCGTGTCAATCGCGTCCGCGACAGCACGGAAGAGACTCCATAAACGGAACTGAATCGCATTCTTGAGTCCACGATCACGGCACATGCGAACGGGACGTATACGAAGGAGAAACATACTCAGTGACATTCGTTCGGGTGCCATCCGCGACGGACTGCTCTTCTCGAGCCATATGGCGTCCGTGCTGCTGTCGGCACTCGCGACCGGTATGTCGGTGAAGCCGTTCCTCATCCTCGACGTTCAAGAAGGTCACCCTTGGATTGAATAGCGCGAAATTACATTTCGCAGTGCAGCTGAGGCGATCCCGTCACGCCACAATGTTCCCTCCGTTGAGGTTATAACATGCAGCAGCAGCAGCAGCAGCAGCAGCAGTAGCAGCAGCTTCGTTCGTCCACCTACGCGCACCGCCGACGGTATCGCGCGCGACCCATGTTACACGACAGAGGGGAGAGGAGCGGAAGGACGAAGATGACGTATCGGCGGAATTGTGAACAATCCGTATGATCAGCAGCACAGGAAAGTCGTGTCCCTGTAGTCGTTCCCTCTAGTTGCGGGGTTTAGGTACTCGCGTCGACTCTTGCAGTTTTCACGCTTTCCCTCGACGATGAGGACGACGACGACGAGGATGACGACGACGACGTTTCACTTTGTGCGCCGACACTCTTATACCAGGTGGCGCGAAAGATTCTCATCATCGTTACTAACCCACCGCCGCCGCCTCCACACCGACACCAGCACCAGCAGCGCGCTGCCGCCACCACCGCTACCACCACTATCGCGCTCGATACGTCGAGGGTAAAACAGGGGAAGAACGGGATGTAGATGTACATACGTAGACGGTATCGCTCCACCGCCGACTACGTACATACTCGTCGTCCGGGCGTAGCTTCGCGAACCGCCGGAGCTGTCCCAAAGACACTCTCAAACGAGGACAGCGCCATGCTATCGCGCGCGCGCGCGCGCGCGTTCCCGGTCTTCGGTGCGAAACCTCGATTTCAGGCTGTACGGTGACGTGCTGTCGATCGAATTGCTGTCGACCGCCCGCGGCTCTGCGGGGATACTAGGCATCTCCTAGCATGGTCTAGACCGCGTACATAGTTACATACGTCTACGCGAGCGACACTCTCTGCTCTCTGCGCGGACTGTACTGACTGTACATACAACGCTAGCTAGATATCAAGCTCGCGCTCTCTCGCTAGTGTCGTCCTCGCCGGCCCGCGCTCGAACCGGCCTCGGTATTCCTGGGATTAAAGCGCGCGGGCACCTCCTCCTCGGCTCCTCGCCTGACTCGACGCGACGCGATGCGACGCGACGCCTCGCGTCGACGACGGTCGGACGGTCGACCGCGCGGCAGTGACAGCGCGACGTCCCGCCGAACGTGCCGATGCCATCGTCTCCGAAGATGTGTTCCAATACCCTGATATTGATACTTGACGCGTATACCGATCAGTAGCCAGTCCATGTCCGGAAGTGACGCGTCGATTCGCGATTCCCTGTACTCACATAAATGTATATCTTGAAATAACGTGAAAATTACAAAAGTGAGCATATTCATTAAATACGTATAATTTTATTGATATTTCATATTTAATGAAATACTTTGCTCACTTTTGTAATTTTCATTTCATTTCAAGATATACAATCAATCCCCAGAGGTTCGATTGTGTATCACACAGCTTAATGAAAATGGAGCAACAAAAGTGAGCAATGCATCAATTAATTACAAATTATATAATCATTCCAATGAAGTCGCCTATTTTTGTTGTAATGTTCACCTCACAATCGAATCTCAGGGGCCATGTTTCTCGGAAAATATCATATAAAATGTACGAAAGTATTATGCATAAAATAGTATATGTATATAATAGATTTCGTTAGTATTAGGTGTAGGAAAAAGTTCGTGGCGCTTTTCTCGTTACATCTAACGGGAAAAACGCCACGAACTTTTTCCCATACCTAATATTTTCGTACATCTATTATTTTTTAAAAATTAATTTTCTCCGAGACAGTTGCTAAGAAGTTCGAAACGTATCTGTACTTTGTGAACAACGCGCAAAACCTTTTGCAATCGATAGATTTCACGTAATCCCAAGTCTCAATCATAGGCAGAATGTTATTCTCGTATATAGAAGATAACAGAGAAAGTACACGCGGAATGAAACCGAATTATCGATCTCACGTGGGTTCTATTAATTTTAGATATTGCATGTAAACTTTGTGATGACGATTAGAATGACCGTGAATAAATGCTCTCTTACAATTGATACTGGATGTTTTCCATTTGATGAACAAGTTGACACAAACGTCGTTCTGTAACATTTATGTTATCAAATGCAAGCATCCATTATGAAGTTTTGAACTGTAGATAAAAAAAAATTTCAATTCTTCAACCACCGTAAAACCTGTATCAGATTGGAGATTAATAAGCTTGAATTTGATCAATCAAAGTAAAGCTGACTATATTTATTATTAGTTTTCTTTCTTCTAATTGATTAATTTCAATTTACAGTCTGAACGGCTTAAGACAGAAGTTCATTTGCATTTTGTACTTCAAAGAGGATGCTTTAGAATTTAAATAAATATAGTTTTCACAAACTATAACTGTAGTTAAGAGTCAAGCTTAAGGAAGATTTTTGTAAATGACATTATCACCGTTAAGTACAGTTGTGGCTTAAGAGATAGCCCTTAATAATAGGACTATAAATGATGTACAGAGAAGTAGAATCGTATTTCAAAACGACATTCTAAAGATGTCCCAAGAACACGTATCTCTTAAGGACATTCCCAGGATGTTTCTTGAATAAAATATACTATGAGAAATTTTAAAATACTAGAAGTAACGATCTGTGCTATATATCCAGAATAAATCATTGCTTTCAATATTTGTTTTTTGCATGAAAGAACGAAAAGAAACTAGAGAGTAGAACGATAAAATAAGTCACGTATAGCATATACATGACAATTCCATATATGTCATTAGAAGCGATTATTGAATATAGGATTAGAAATTGGCTATAGATTGGTTAACTTTATGTCCATGCTGTCGTTGCCTCACATTAGAATTTTTTTTACTATCCTGGAAAAGATGGTATTTCACTTTTGCAATAAACGTATCAAACATTCGACATACATTAATCCTTAAAAAAAAAAAAGACTTCTTTCATTTGAAGCATGAACATTTCACTTTGGTCACAGTGCCTTAGATTTTCTGAGAAGATAAGGGGACGAGGGCGGAGGAAGACGCGCGATAGCGAGATGCGTGGTAGTTGATCTAAACGACCGCCCATCTCGAATCGCGCACGTCGTGTAGCATGGACCAGTTGCAGGAGCTAGGTACATACCGCTCAAAGAGTAGCCAGGACTGGCGTGTAAGATCGCGCGGACGATGTGACAACATCGCACGGTCGATATGCTCTTTCAGGCAAAGTGCCAAGATTGGTAAATGCACGCGGGGATATATAGTCGTGGTTTCCAGGTATCACCCTCTGCTCCCCTCCCCATCCTTCTCGCCATCCCTCCCTCTATCCTTCCCTTCCGCCCCTCTTTAACTCCCGCGCTTGATTCGTTGCTCTTCATCACTACTGGAGCTCACCCGTGGGATTTATTCCGATGGTGGGGGCCACATACCGGGAGTGGGAGTACCAATGTTGCGCAGAACCCAGCCAGACGTTGGCTCCCGCTCATGCCATTGCGCAGTTCTTACATATATAAACCCGCCGGCCGCCTATATACTACATATGTATTATACTTATTATTTTAATCATGATTTACGAGCGCGGCGTTGCCGGTTCTCGCGCTCCGGGCACGCCCATTCCCTTCCTCGTCTCCACTTTTCAGCCATATAGGCGAATACATAGAAACGCGCGCGCGGAAAAGCAACGTCGCTTGATCGATACTTGAGAAACTTGCAATAAAAAAAAATTACTATAGCGAATACATTTCTTTTGGTAGTTCCAAGCGCAAGTATATAAGTTAAAGATTCCTTACGTGTTTTTCTCAGTACCCCAAATAATTCATCTCCCTCTCATATCTTTCTTTTATTAGAACAATTTCCAAAATTTTACTTTGCAAATACATGACATTCAGATACGAGCGTTTATTATTTATTCAATGTACATTCCGAGCTTGTTGAGTTTTATAAAGAGAGAGTCCTTGTGTAAGAAACAGTATAGAGTACATCGAATACTTGGTTGATTAGGTCATATCGCATCGAGCAATGCGACGTTGCCGTTGCGGCCTTGATGATACCTAGTTTACTGCGCAGCACGTTGGGCCAGTCGTTTTGGCAACACTGGAAAGTCGTGGCAATCTATTTATAGTAGTCCTCTAACGCCGCTGTTGCTATGCCGAACAAAAAGCATATTTGTTTCAGAGGAGGGGATTAAGAGAGGTGGGGGACAAATAGAGTAGGGGAAAAGATCGGTGAGCGTAGGCGGTACGAGAAGAGGGGATTACCGAAAGACCAATATGGCGGCGGAACGGATATATTCTCCTCCAATCTATCTGTGTTCTGCTATAACTCGCGCCTTTCCCCATCTTTCTTCCGTGTCGCCGCTCTCTCTCTCTCTCTCTCTCTCTCTCTCTCGCTCGCGCGCGCGCGCGCGCGCGCGCATTCCCTGATTCTCTATCGGTGTTCGCGATAGTGGCTCATCGTATTTCCTGTACCTCACGAAAATATGACCATGATAATAGTTACGCAACGCGCGAGGTATGCTACTCTAGTATGCGCGCGCGAGCGGAGTAGAAGGCGGACGAATTTCGCAACAAAACGTTAATAAGCATTTCTTTCTCGCGGCCGACAAAGAGAGTCAACGAGAGACCAGATGAAGGTCACGCCGCTCGCGCGCCGCTTCTCCTTCCGCGGGGGTGATTCCGCGGAAAATAAAATAGAGCAAACGTAAAGGGAGCAAAGGTCGCGAAATGAAAAAGATCCAGCGCGGTATATGGATATATCGCGCCCACCGGCCGCCATCCGCGCGCGCTGCTCTCCCATCCTTTACGCGCGCATTTCTTTTTTTTTCACATAGCTCACGCGAAATTGCATATGGCGCCGTTCGCTCGTAGCAGCTGACGAGGTTTGCGGGGCGCTGCGCGCTCCTACGCGATACCGAGAGCACGCGACTTGCGAGAGGCATAGCGCGTTTGCCACGAACAGCCCTCGGTGACGCTCGGCTCTCTCCGATTCGGAGTTTGCCTCTTTGTTACATCACTCTTCGCTCCTTATGTAGTACATAAGGGCGGATACATTATGTATCGCGTGCGGGCGCGCGGGGCAGGGGCCACATATGTCCCTCCCAGCTCTCGCTCCGGTTGTACATAACGCACACACATATGCCGCGTATGTATGTGGTGTATGTGCATACGCGCGAGCGAGCCGGCTGGGCGCACTCGCGCGGCGAGCAAGCCCCAGCTCCACGTTACACGATGCGCGGTTATAACAAACAAGCGCCGGTGGGTTCCCGGCACATTGCATTATTACATAGAAACACGGTTGCGCTACGCGAAACGATTTGACGGCGAACGGTACGACGTATGGAAAATTCATGCTTTCGTAATAATAGCGCGGGAGACGCACCGCAAGGCAATTTCACGAAATTTAAGAGCGACAACCTTCGCTTTACTTTGCATGACAAATATAAAAGAAATTCCTATTCCAGGACTTCACCATATTCTTTTATGTCATTCTACAAAACGTACTTGCATTGTCCACAAACGTATTAGTATGGATGCTGAACAAGTGAAGCACCACACATATATGTGTGTGTGTGTGTGTGTGTGTGTGTGTGTGTGTGGAGAAATTATATCCCAACTTAAAATAAATAGAGAATAAGTGCCGTAGTATTAAAACTACAATATTCCAAAAATTCAAATGTACGCGTATTTGTAAGTTCCGTTACTTGAAAAATGTAACAAGAAATATAATCTTTTTTTATGCTAAACTTTTTAACTTTTTAGTCGTGGAAAAAGATCACACCATGTAACGGTAAAAAAAATTATATGTTATATTTCTGTTATATATGTATATGTTAGGACTCAAGAAATACCTGATACGACTTACTTAAAATATAAACTAGTAGGGATCATTAAAAAGCTAGTACGATTTATTAAAAATATAAAAATAGCTTATTTTATATTAAGTAAAGAAATTAATTTAAATCAGAAATTGATTTCGAAACCTTAAATAAAAAATATGTATTTTACACATTCTAATACAAAATTGGTTTTTTATGATTTTGTTTTTAAAAATATAAAATAGATTTCGAATACTTGTTTAAAATATCAAATAAGAAACAGATCAGAAAAAAGTTATTTAAAAATAATAAATATTAAATAATTTTCTTAGTTTTAATTTAAAATTCATGTTTTAAATTAAAAATTATAAAATTATTTTAAATATGACCGACATCTAGTAACAAAAATATATATAAAAACATATATAATACATAAACATATATAATATAAACATATATAAACATATATAATTTTTTATATC